AAAAGATACATCAATTTGCGACGTTCAAGTCCCTATCTTCCTTTCATACTGACTCCCTTGGCTCCAAGAGCACAAGACCCCGTTCCAGATCGTGTTCCTTCCTGAAGCTCTCTCACCGCTTTCCCGACCCGCAAAATGGCAGCAGTCTTTTAACCCCCCAACTACGTTGGGCCATGTTAAATCCCTATCTCGAAACATGGAACCTATGCTCGGCCACGTTGGGGAGTGGAGGGGGGGTCACTTCCGGGGCTATGTTCGGTGGAAATATTGGCCCCTTCCATGCGGTGCGGGCGGTTACCGTCGCGAAGCGACGTGAATATTCAAGAATACTATTTTTTGAGCGTTCTCCGCTACAAATCCTTGATATTTGAAGAAGCCGTGCGCGTGCGTGCGTGCGTGTGTTCGTGCGTGCGGTCGTGCGTCAATAAGTGTGCGCGTGCGTGCGTACATCGATACTGTTTCAAGCATCGATACTGTGTCAAACATCGGCAGTTTTCTTGACCGTTTCGACGGTCGAAAGTGGTCATGAAAAATGTCACCAAAGATGTCTTCCAAAGATGTCTGGGCAGCACATACACGCCATCCCCCCACCGGCATGGCCGGTTGGCGAAGCCTGTCAGTTTGTGTGGAAGCTATCAGAGACACTCGGAGAAAGTAAGCTGCACGCGGAAGGAACCATGGGTCATTCAAAACCCTTCCAAGAAACTGCTACATGAAGAGCTTCACAAGAGATTTGAGTTGTATGGTCATCTTAGTTGGTAGAAAGGTTGGTGTGTACTCTGTACCCAGAGAATAGGGGCATTGGAGAGTTGAGCGAGAGAGCATTTGGACTGCTTGATTCATCTCAATCAGACGCGCCGCGCAGAAACCAAAGGCCACGGGAGCCATTTTTCTTGAGCACGAGCAAATCACCTGGAGCATCAAACATGTGCAACATGGTCTCTCTGAATTTGAGACTAGTAGCTTCTTGCTACCAGCAGTAATGGCATCCAACCTACTAGCGATGGCCTCCAACCTAGCAGCTCCCCTCTTGCTAGTTGAACTAGCACATTACGGACCTCATGGATTACGGGAAATCCCTGCTGAACCGATACTTTGACTCTTCCAGCTCGGCAGTCACATTGGTGGCTATGAATGTTGTCACAAGTTGTGCCTTGATGTTCATTCATGTTCATGTTCATGTTCATGTTCATACATGTTATACAGTATGTAGAATCTCCTGATGAGTCCAAACATGAAAAGCAAGCACCTTCAGGATCAAAGCCCTCCACTTCGGCAATTTCGCCATCAGAGTATCGGACACGGTCGCCGATGCTCAAATATTTAACACACCTTTCACGAAACCACACCTTGGTGCAAGCACAAGAGCCTGTGCAGATGACTGATTGAGAAAAAACATCAAGTATCCAGAAGTCAGTTTGACATTCAGCAAGCAAACAACATTGTCTTTTGCAGCGTGCGACATTCAACAAATCATGGGGCAGCAGCACCACTCACAGTACTCCAAACAGCCAACACTGTCTGTTGAGAACACGCATTGCGATGCCCTCAAGAAGCTGGCACAAAAAAATCAGGAAAACAAAAGTGCGTTGAACCACGCAAGGCACCGTCTCGCGATTGCTGCTTGTGCACACGCGAAAGTCCTCGTCCTCATCGAAGCCAATGATGGTGCCCACATCTCCACCTGGTCAGTATCTGCAGGGAGACACCATGAAGTTTGCTGGGAAACCTAAAAAGATGACCAATCCTACAACTTAGCTGGTCAAGCTACCTCATGCTGACTAACTAGACTACCACTTGCTTACTTGGGGCTTCTTTCGTTGTGGTCAAAGAAGCTTGCTAATGCCTGGACTTCTTTGCCGTTTTGAGGCCAAGTAATCAGACTTTGTTATGAGAGGACCTGACATAAAAAATGGAGCTGCCAGCATTTGCTCTGGGGACCCTGCAAGAGTATTGCACACGGCCCCCCCACTTTGAAAACGTTCAAGTCAAAAACCAATGACCTGCAACGTGCGAGCCATAGCCGCAAGCACTGAGGACGCTTCAAATTTGGAAGTTGGAGACGTGATGTGGGCAAAACTGAGCTTTACAGTTCGCCTTGAAGTCTAGATTCACAAGCGTGGAGATCTGCAGCCGCTTGTGTCTAGCTTTAGCTCTGGAATATGTTGAGTCAATTATCAAAAGTCTAAAGTGTATGGTCCAAATTGATTCTTGCATCAAAAACAACCGCAATATATTCGACCAAAACCTCCACAGTTTGGATGACCCTTTGCTGCGGGGCATGACAGGGACGCGGCACCTCACACCATCGTAGTTCTTTGTGGCTCTCTCAAGCGGCTCCATCAAAGCTTGTGTGACCTGTTTTGCCAAGAACTGATGCCCAATAAAGAACAGGACCTCTGAGTCGAGATGAAACATTGAAGATATCGTATCTTTATATATAACTGTCGAGACAAGTTGTTTCCTTCAGTTCTGTGCACTGTACTGCGTGCTTCTCCGCTCTGGCCTGCTTGGCACTTGGTGCAGAACGCCCCGAAATGCCTTGAGGGCTGCACAGAGTTTCCGGGTTCGAGAAGCACTGTCGCCAAACAAATCACACGATATTAAACTAACCTTCTGGAAGGTCAGACTAGCTACAGCCCAGATTTTTGGCAAGACTGGGCACCCCACGCATGGCTGTAAGGAGAGTGCCACGGGCTTTCGAGTTAAGCGAACGGGTCGCGCGTGCTCGGCGCTGACGCCAAGCCCTGCAACAAACATGCATTGCTGATCGAGTCTTCCATCCTACTTGGAAGTCAGAGCGTCCTTGTTCCTAGTAGCTTCTTGTTACTAGTATGTAGTAAGGCCAGGAGCTACTACTGGCGTCCTTGCTCCTAGTAAGTACTTTGCAATCGTCCCTATGTTCAAAACATGCACTACACAGGGCTAGTTTACAAGTCTGATATATAACCATGATCTGAGTAATGCTCACAATGTAAGACTAGACTCTTGTTCACACGTTGCCGTATTTGCTGTCCTCAGCATCATCGCAACCACGATCGCAGCCAAGGGCAAGAAAACCCCTTGACCTCAAGATGGACTGCAACTAGGAAAATTGTGTCTCAAGCGTCAAGGGATCTATGAGGGCCAGTTCCTTCAAAATGATTTCAATCGAAACTGCCATTGTCAAAGACCAAGACAATTGAGCCAAAGCGGAACAACACAAGCGACGCCGCTTGAGCTCTTGTTCGTGGGTGTCCATGTTTCTAAACAGGAGTGGAGTCTGAAGGTACTTGGACTAAGCAGGACTTTCTAAGACTTGGCTACACTTTGCAGAGTGCTTCTTCCTATATGTGGGTCAAACAGCAAGGCCAAATTGGATCAAAACTGGTTCCTGGTTGGTTCTGCTGTACCCTGAGCAAATTGAGGATGAATATATAATGAGTCTCCATCCTCTCCATCCTTCCACTACCACAACACCAACACCTCCTCACCGAAATGCACGATGAGCTGCAGTGGCTAGGGACCCGGATGGGTCGGGAAGATGAGGCCATGTCAACCTCAGTGGCTGTGCGAAAGGTGAAACACTTTGAAGCCTTGCGGTACGGGAAAGATTTGGGCTGTCATGACTTTGTTGAGTGGTTCACCTGTGTTCACAAACGTCGAGCTTCAGCCAAGAGACTGTGAAGAAAACGAAGTCCATGGGGAAGATCACCTCAAGGGTGGCCATCAACAAATCGGGATTTGTTTTGCGTTTTCAAAGGGAGCCTCCCAAAGCGCACTGCTCTGCACATGCTGCGCAAACCAAAAAGTACACATGCCAGCGAAAAAGCCCGCTTCAACCCTTGAATTGAAGCACTGCAATGCACGCACAACTGATAGAGCTGGGCCATATGCTGCACACAACCGCATCACTTGGCTCTAGAAGACTGGAAGACCTGGTATTGCATGGGACTCGTTGGACTACAAACGGCACCATACAGGCCCATTGACATGTCAACATCCTCTGCATGTCTTTATGAAACCATGCTCAAACGACTAAGCATCCCTTGTTCCTGGATCCCTTTGGCTGGATTTGCCAGGGTCTTGTATGTATATAGCTACAGTAGGTGGATGAATTATTCAAACATATTCAACTCAAATACATCAATACCACCTACCTCCAAAGTTGTCAGACTCCGACAAGGTCGGCTTGAGTGAACGAATGCAATCATACACCTGACACGAGCACCCTCTTGCTGCTATAAACATTGAAACCACAGCTGCGGGGGCAGTGAGCACAGATTCATGTTGGGGGCTGACTAATTTCTCCATCTCTCTCTCTCTATATATATATACTCAAACCTTTGAAGGTTGATGTTTTGAAGGCTTGCAAGGGCCAATCTTTTTCATGAGAATGAGGCTTGGAGGACGGTTTAGGCTCATTGATCGGTTGGTTGGTGGACTCACCACTCTTGTTTGCAGTCCGCCGTCTTTTTGGCAGAAACGTCGTCTTGCTCAGGCAATGATGGGGAACTCTGGACTGGAACTGAATGACATGAATATATGTCGTCCGCCTGGCCTGTTGCATGTTTTGACCTCTATTCACTATTCTATTCTGCCTTCCTTGAAGCCACTGACCCCTGTGTGAGTTTCCCTGAATAGCCCCGTAGAGCCAGCATTCCCACCAAAGAATATGGTTTGCCCTGATTTTCAATCTGGTCTTAAAGCACTCATATAAAACTCAGAGACAAGCCCAGTGCGGCCCAAGGCGCGTTCTACCAAGCTCCCAAGCTCACAAGCAAAGAAGGAGCAGCGAGGTGCTTCTAGAATCACTTGAGAACAAACTGCGGACAAAAAGGCAACTAAGGCGTCCGATACTCGGACATGCAAAAAAGATTGCACCAATTTAAAAATGTCATACTGTGGTTGACATCAACAGACATCAGGTCATCCGCGTGGTTCTCCATGCCGCTCTCCCTCAAGTCCTCGTCCAAACTGCTTAAACCCATCCACCGGCCAAGACCCCAAAACCAAGCCACGGTAGGGCTTTCCCAGTGTGGTGACACGGTCGCCGAACACGGAGTGGTAGGGGCCATCGAAGACAGATCCCCGAAGCCCGTCCTCGGCCCATGGGGCCCATTGAGTCGTTTGCTGAGTAAAACATGGGCCGCAAGAGTGGAGGTAGGAGCTAGTAGCTAGGTAGCTACTAGTAAGGACGCAGGAGAGCTCGCGCTTCTTCAAGGAAGCTCCCCCGAGCTGCTTAGGCCCAAAGCCTGACAGCTCACGCCCCACCAGTTGCTTTGCTTTTTGCTGTGGACAGTATTACGGGTGAGCACATTCAGAAGTTGGCGCTTGTGCAGCAGTGTTGGGAAGACCGTCTTACCTCTGATAAGGCAATGATCCGAGTGTGTGATGACATGTATGTCTTACAGCCCCTTGCCGACTTTGTAGCCAAGGCCATTCCAAGTATTGCAACTTGGCAACCATGGTTGGTGGGTCACAGACACAACGCTTATTCCCCTCAACATTCCGGGCACTGAAGGTAGTTGCTGTCGAGCTTGGACTTGGCAGATCATCATGCTCACCTACTTCAACTCAGTATTGATGGCAGAATGCTTCCGGGTGATGTGTCTTGGGATGGCCTTGCTGATGGAGACATCACGCTGAAGATTGGCTCATTCAATCTTTGCACACTTCAAGTGATCCGTACAGACATGCGAAACCATGAGGATGACCCAATCGTGTCTCCTACACAGCCATGGAATGGTGAAGAGGCTGACCCTGAATTTGACCGCCTGCAGGATGTTCATCGAGCTGGTATTTTTCATGCGGCCGAATATGTGTGCCAGGATGAGGAGCCGCGTCATGCTGCTAAGATCCTCCTTATTCAGCAGGATGGTACTTCGGAATGGATCTGTCACGCGAACCTTGATCGTTTGGGGAGTATCCCTACTTTCCAATACCAGCGGAATTCTATGCGCTTCTTCAAAGTCAACAGAGATGCATGTCAAAGCCTTCTTGGAGTTCACGCGGCGATGGCTATACAGGGATCATATGACCCGGTCAATCCCAACAAGTGGGTTCTCCTTGCAGGTGGTCAAGAATTGAGATGGTGCAAAATCTGCCAAGTCCCGAGGTCTGTCACGCCAAGGCAGCGCAATGACTTGCTTGAACAACAATGCCATGTCACTATGAGGAACCTGGTAGAGCGTAGACAGGACCAGCCTATGATGCTCATCAATGGTGATGTTTTGTGGAGTGACACCAGGGTTCAAAACGTTGTGCCTATTGCTTTTGGCGGTATGGATCGCCTTTCTGAACACCCCAGCTGCAACATCCACAACGATGAGATCACAGCACGCCTACTCCAGTTCAACCTGGAACCTGGTGCTTTAGCTGTTGATGAAGTGATCGTCCACTTTGACATTCTGCGGGCGCTGATGCCTTGGTGTCCTCCCGGGCTTTGGGCAAACAATGAATCGCAGTTCCGGCTCCCCAACGAGCCTGCTGACCTCCAAAGATGCTATCAGCATTTCGTCGTTCCGATTTTGGTAGTTTTCGACTGGATCTTTGTCGAAGTCAGGTTCTTTGAGGGACAATGGAGGGTTCTTGATCACTCGCTAGAGCAATTGACTATTCGGAAAACCCATGCTGTCCTCGAGCTTATGAACAGTATGGGCGTCCCGGTTGCACCAAATGCCTATAGATGGGTTCGTACTGCAGAAGACAATGAACTTGCGCCTTGGCACACCATGCGCACGTTTTATGCCAGAGGAGGTGCTCCGCTGCTTCCCGAATCTCATCGAAGCACGCAACGTTTGCAGAGATCTCAATATACCTCACATGTCATGCAAGTAGTCGATCAGGCTGACTTGGTGTGGCGGGAAACACAGGCAAACGATCGGATGGTGTAATTCGCCCGGGCTTGGCGAAGTGCCTTTCTGATTGCGATCACGGAATCTCCGAGCAGAGCAGCAGACCTCCTCCTCAGAGAGGTAGACCTCTGCCGGTGTAAGATATACATGAGATCTTCTTTGTGGCAGATACATGGCTGGAAATGAGGCTCAATATCTACCGCACCCACCCAGGGTGGGCAACCAGTGATGAGATTGAATTTGCCATGGCTTTCTTTCTTCCGGATTCCTTTTGCCCACCGGTCCTGCATCATGACCTTTCGCTGATTACTGCGGGGGTTGCGCACATGCCCAAGAACATACGCGCCGAGCGGTCTTCCTCCAGGTCGCACCTAGGGATCAGCAATTTTGGCATGATTTCGCTATTGACCACATCGTACCCTTTGGCTTCCGGCCTATCATCATCATTGACACCAACAGAACTCGACCAGGTATGTGTGGATGGGAACTGCTGCACAGATGGATTGTTGCTGACATTCGTCTTCCTGATGCCTTCCATGCGCCCAACCCCAAGGACCCCAAGAGGCGCATCATTGATACCATCATTGAAGAATCAGATCGCGCGCGGCGGCAAGCGGGAGCCCCACCGATGCTGCGCACGTTTGCCGAACAAGTTCGACGGCTCTTCCTCCTCGTTGGGGGTCCATCTTCTTCAGCCGTGTTCAGCTGTCTCTCTTGGTGGTATGGAAGGGCAAGCAAGCACTGACTCGCCAATGCAAGCAGCAGATCCGTGGCAGTTTGATGATCCATGGAAAAGTAAGAAAAAGCAGGTCAAGCAGTGGAGTACGTGGGAGGATCTTCAATTACAAGCTGACCACCCCTTTGTTGCGAAGGACAAGACGCCCTTGCCGTTTGTGCAGAAACAGCAGCTATCAACCAACCGTGGAGGGATTGCTTTTGTTTCAAAGGGCAACTTGCAGCAAGCGCGGGAAACCACCCCGAAAGAAGCATGTGCTTTGCTCCTATCGCTCATCGATCCTACAGATCCGTTGGCCAAGTTGCCCAACCTCTCTGGACCGTTTGAAGTGATTGTCTTTGATCTGAATAAAGAATATAAGAGACAAGTCCACTTATTGGTTGTCACTCCGCAGGTCAATTTTGCTTTGCCAACTCCTGCGATTACTCTGACTCTTGCTGCAGTTTGTGAGATCGTCCTGGAGCGCGATGCTCGTCTTACAACCAAAGATGTTTTCCAGGCCTTCTATGACAATCCGTTGGCAAAATTCAATACTCAACTGAAAGAGGTGTGCACAGACCCAATCTGGGGTCACGCAGCCATCTACGGATACCGTGCAGTTCAAGAGCAGTCCAAGGAGAAGCATGATCTTGTGCACCAATGCCTGTTAAAGGTCCAGCAAAAGCATCGTGTTCCATTGCTCTCTGTGAGTGGCCATGGGGACTTGATTGTCAGGGATTTTGTCGCAAAAGGTGAGCAGGTTCAAGACCTATCCATCATCCCACGGTTTTGGCCAATTGACCGCGCAAACAAAGCTGATCTCATCAAAGCTGCCTCGACCGTTGCAGGGTATCGTGGTATTGCAGTCACTAAGCGGGGGCTCGCCCCGCGGTTCGCCACGGATGCACTGGCCACTGCTCGTGATCTACTGCTACCACAGGATGATAGAATTTGTGCCATCAACAAGGCGATGGTGCCCAAGGTAAACATGGACAGTCTAGGCTGGCCCTCGGAGATACTTGCGAAGGACATCGTATCCGCAGTCCACCAGGCCACGAAAGTGCCCTGTATTCCAACAAGACTTGAACACTCTCATTTGAGAAAGCACCTACGGTTTCAAAATTCTCTGTCCGGGTCAACGACAAAACCTTTGAGATTTTGCTCACGCCCGTATCGTACAGGTTTCCCTCCAAAGGGAAGGGAAAGGGCAAGTCGTCCAAGGGTGGGAATGCTGCTCCGCCTGAGAGTGCGCCCTCGCGCAGCACCGTGTCCAAGGAGATTCACTCTGAGCGCATTGATCGATTGGAAGAGCAGGTTGGTCGTCTCGAGCAGAAACATGAAAGCCTGAGCGAAAAGGTCGACCACCAGTTTGGCCAAGTCGGAGATCAACTTCGGCAGATTTTGCAATGTGTCCAGCCGCGGCACCGAGAGCATGGAGAAACTCCGCCCCCGGCCGAGCACCACCGGGCGGCTTGACAAATACACGTGAAATTCAAGGGGATGATCCATGTTGAGCGACGCCTTGACTATCGTCGTCCCGGTATGGGGAGTATCTGTTTTCAGTCATGATGAGTTGCGCTGGCATTTACGTAGCTTGGCATCCGGATGCGTGTTGCACCTTGGGGCAGATCCTGCTGATGGGCGTCGCTCTACAGCCAGTTTTTCAATGGGCTCCTTTCTGTGGGCAATCCCACGGGTTTTCCTCACGCAGGGGAATGCGTGAGACTTTTGCTCTTGGCCATGATGGCCCGTCCGTCGGGTCCTCTCCTCGTCATGGTGGAAGGGATGATGTTCAACATCACTACTGTGATGGGGTACCACTTCGATCACTGCATGAGGGCTCTCCTTTGGCGACGCCGTACTTCCACCCTCGGGCGAAGAAGAGGGCCGCTTGGCCTGGGGAGATTGCCGGAAGTCAGAGTGCTTTTCAGTGGTCTATGTTTCCTACTATGTTCTGGGTGACTTGTTCTTTCGAGTCTTTCCCTACCGATGAGTTGCCTTTTCGAGTGATTGGTGGGAATGTGGGTAAGATTGTCTGGGTCACCAACGACTTTAACATGACACTTGGTTTTTTCGGAGAAGGGCCCACATGGTCCGTTATCTCAGCGAATGTAGATTCCTTTGCGACCAACTTCAATTGTTTGCAGTGGGACGCAGATGCCTTCATGCTTCAGGAGGCTCGAGTGGCAGACTCCAACTTAGTTGAGTCTCAACGTAAGGCTGCAACTTGCAATTTTCACCTCTTTTGTTCACAGCCTCTCCAGAAGCCGCGTGCCAGCAACGGCACTTTTCGTACACCGTCTGGAGGCACAGCCACTTGTGCACACAAGGAACTCACTCAGCTCTTTGACGAGAAGGCTGATGTATACCTGGCCGCAGCTTCGCTCCTCAGCTCGGGTAACCGCAACTTGGCATCAAGTGTCCCCCGGCGTGAAGCTCCTGACTTTCAATTTTTACGGGATTGCCAACGCCGCATCAGAGCGTGCCAAATTCAATCGCAATAATGAACTGCTGGACCTGATTTTCACAGTTGCCGCACAATTCGGGGACATTCCCATTCTTGTAGCTGGGGGCTTTCAGATGGAACCTGGCATGTATCCATCAGTTCAACTGGCTTTGGATCACTGGGGCTGGGCGGACCCGTTACTGCGTACAGACGGTCAGGGAGAGGTTATCAGACCTTGTACCTTCTTTCAACGTGCACCCTCTGTGGAAGGTGATGGCCAGTCCTCTATTGATGGCATTCTGATGAACAGAACAGCTCTTACAGCCCTGTTGGATATCCGTGTACTTGACCACCAAGACCGTCAACATCGACCTGTCCAGGCCACTTTTGCCTGGGACCGCATTCTGCAGGTTGGCACTATGATGCAACGCGCTGCCAAGTTGAACTTGGACCAACTCCAACGGTCTGACCCGGACGACCCTGGTTGCCCTGTCAACCTCCTCGGTGACCAACTATGGCGGAGCTATGCTTCCGACTTCTCCAGTGCAGTGGATGCAAATACCAAGTGGGATATTTAACAACCACTACGCAGTTCAACTCCTGCTGCTGAATGGAGCGAGTTGGGAAAAAGGACCACATGTACGTGGGAAGCTGCCGAAGTTCCATAAGGTGCAAGCCAGTGCACCTCAAGAAGCTGCTGGCAATCTGGCTTCACCTCACCTGATGTTGTTACAAGCCTCACTTCGATCTCTGAGGCAATTGGAATTCCGCTTCAGCCGGGAAGCTACAGGATCTGGCGATGCCCGAACTTTCCGCAATACTCAGCAGCGCCTCCTCCGAAGGTTGAAGGTTGCTAAGCTCCTTCCTTTCGCTGTACAGCAAATCTTTGTACATGACTTGCCGTACCTGATTGAGATTACCCTCAAGGCCATCCATGAGGAGACGAAACAGTTGAAGTATGCTGCTATCACGAAATGGCGAAATGCAATGAAGTGTGCAACAACTTCACTTGCTATTGGAAAGATCGTCTACCAATATCTCAAGCGCAAAGGCCGGGTTGCACCACCCAATTTGAGAGAAGATGATGTAGGCAATATCATCTACGACCCGCAGACGGCCATGGATGTTATTGCAGACAAGTGGGACACTGTGTTCTCTGTCAATGCTGACCATGCCCATGAACTGCAGACCCTCAAAGAAGTGTGGCCTTACATCCACCATAAGGGGAAGGCTATCGCGCTGCCTCCGATTACAGAAGACCAACTCTGGAAACAGGCCGCCAGGCGGCGGCCAGATGCTGCAGCTGGCTTGGACGGTTGGCAAACCAGGGAGGTACGAGCCTTGCCCCCAGCCGCTTTTCGACCAATTGCCGAACTTTTCAATGGCATTGAAGCAGGCTCACTGGAGTTCCCGACCATCCTCACACAAGTTCGAATGGCTATCCACAATAAAGACGGCAGTGACGCACCCTTGTCAAAGCGCTTGATCTCCAGTCGGTGTTCACACTGCTGTACACCGGTCTTCGCTTTCTACAACTTCAACAATGGCAGCAAGATATCATGCCTGCTCAATTGAAAGGAGGAATAAAAGGGCGAAAAATGTCGGAGGTTCACATGACCATGCAACTGGAAATTGACAGAGTACACAGCTTTCAAGGATCGTTTGCCGCCTTGAAGCTAGACAAGGCCAAATGCTTCGACCGTCTGATGCCAAAGCTTTGCGCTGCCATTATGCTGGCATTGGGGTTGCCCAAAGGCTTTGTTTGCGGCTTCCTCGCGCTGTATACCCGTATGACGAGATTCCTTTCCTTCGAGCGATGGACCAGAGCGCGGCCAATTTCCACGCCGAATGGTGTTGCGCAGGGTTGTTCTTTAAGTCTTCTCTGTATCTATGTACACATGGCCATCTGGGTCTGGATCATTAGCAACATTGATGGGATTGACTTTCGAGCGTTCATAGACGACACATGGTGGTTGTCCAATATTCTTGTTTATTGAAACGGCCATTCTTCGCGAAAAAAACATTAACATTCGCGAAACTTTCGCGAACCCTGTGTTTTTCTTTCGCGGGGGTTCACCATGTCATGAAACCATTTAACCTGGTAGGGACTCGATTTCTAAATACAGTTTGTGGGGTTGCTATGGGCTACGGGGTTCCTCTGGAGCCGATTCATTCGCCGAAACCTTCGCCAGACTTTCGCGAAACTTTCGCGAAATAATCCCTGTGCTTTGGAGGTTTTTACGGCATACATAACATAGGGTGGACTACATGAAACAGGAAGGAAGCTTCACACGGATTCCAAAGTTGAAGCTGCTGACGGTCAGAAAAGGATGTGGTTGTGCATGGGGCAAGCCTGAAGGCTCGCCAAAGAACATACAATAAAAAGTCATACTTTCGCGAATCTTTCGCGAAAAAAACATTAACATTCGCGAACTCGAAAAAAAACTTCCGCGAGACCCACGATCATGTCATCCAAGGCTCTCGACATTAAAAACCCTTACAAGGACCTTTTGGATAACTCCCACATACATTTGGACCCGGCTGCTCTCCATTGCCAATTTGGTTGCTGCAGTACGGGCCACTGAGCTGTGGGATTCACTATGTGGACAGTTTCTCAACGCAAGCAAGTGTGAGCTTTTTGCAACCACAGGAGAGCTTCGAAAAGCCCTGAAGCAGGCCTTCCCACAAATGAAGGTCGTTGAGGTGGTCAACATACTTGGCGCGCATGTTCAAACAACGAGGAAAAACGTTGGGAATTTTCCACTTTCCAAGCTGCAAGCAGCCCTTCGAGACTGTGAAGCCATAAGGGCCCTACCTTGTGACAGTAGCAAGAGAGCCCAAATTCTGACCACCAAGGGTCTGCCTCAGGTGGCTTTTGGGCCGCAGCTGAATTTCCTTCCCAAGAGGCTTCTGGCAAGACTTCAAAGTGCGATCGCCGACGCTATTTGGCAGGACCGGCCTATGTGGCGCTCGAAGCACTTGCTGCTCTGTATTGTCCATAAGGCCCACAAATTGGATCCATTTCTGTTCCGTGCAGTTGCCACTATCATTGAATCTGCAAGATTTCTTCGTGCATCTGCATATGCACGCCAATGTTGGCAAGCAATCTATAAGCAAGATCAATTGACCGCTCAATCTTGGATGACTCAGTTTGCGCAAGCCTGCCATATCCTTGATATTTCATGGCGTAGCCCCTTTGGGCTTTCCTGCCGTGGATTTTCTGGAATTTTCTCTGACTGATCTTAAATGCATCCTTAAGAGCTTGGCGGCCAACAAGTGTTACCATGCAGCAAGTTTGATGCCACGCAAGGATATCCATAAAGCTGCTGGCTTCCTTGACCTCTCGCTCACGCTATCTGCCAAGAAGAAGACTGCCAAGGTACCGAACCCTGGGTATTCCTTCTTATTTCACTGGGAGAGTGCGTTGACGGGATGCACAGTCACCGCAGACAGACTAGCAGCATCCGGTTTGACAGAGAGCTCAACCTGCCGATTCTGTGGTACAGCAAAGGAGTCCCTGCAACACTTTGTGGAAGATTGTCAGGCGATGCCTGCAGATTTGCTGCAACCATCGTCGTCCCACTTTCTTGGGCCAAACTTCAATATGTTGGGGATTGCCGAGCTCCCACTGGAAGCTCTTCGGGCCAAACTGCAGGTCTCAAATCCTTGTGAGCTACAAGTTGCCACCTGGACTGAACCACTTCCACCCACATGCCATGTGTGGACTGATGGATCAGTGCAGTTATCACATCATCCATGGCTCACAATTGCGTCCTTTGCGGTGGTTGAGGAACTGCTGGCCGCGGGCCGAGTACTGCATTGGAGGCTCTCCAGCTATAGTGCTGAACTGGGGGCTATACTCGTTGCCTTTGCACTTGCCGAACAGCCACTTGTTGTCCACTCAGATTCGCTCACCATAGTTAACGAGTTTAATGACCTGCTTCGTGTCGGGCGAGTTCAGGTTGAAAGGACACATACGAATTGGTGGGGATTTCTTCTCACACTGATCCATCAGCGAAGCGGCTACTGTGACACGCCGCTACAAGTGATGTGGTGTCCAGCCCATCTGCTTGAGCACATCCCAGCTGCATCTTTGACTGATGGCGAAGCCATTTGCTGCTGGATCCAATAAACGTGATATCCTACTCAACAGGCTTGCCGATGAGTTCGCGAAGCAACAAATCTGGAAGCTGGCAGTCGTGCAAAAGGCTCTGGCTTGCCAAGATAAACAGGGTCTGTAAGAAACCTGACAGAGGGCCCTCCACGGAACTGCCTGTGCCAAACCCCCACGTTCCACCGCGCCAACAATGCCCTCGTTGGCCTTGGGAAATCTCACCTGGTTTGTACCCATGGCAGGTGCATAATGACGTGAATCTGAGCTTCACTAACAAGCCGCAGCTTTCAAGTGCAAACTTCAAAGTCCTCCTCGGATTTTGCAACTCTCTCAGATGGAGGCTAGGCGAAGGGCTTGCATGCTCCGTGTTTGAACTTGCAGCATATGCCTTCACGCAAGGATGGCGCTTCGATTTGCCTGCAGGCACCATTTGCACTGTGCAGGCTTACACAGCCATCATTCGTGCCGCAATTTCGTATTGTGGAGCTTTTCGTGGAGCCGAAGCCTACCTTGACAACGCAACTCTCGAGCTTCTTGCTCGAGCCTTTGACAAGGGTGCCAAAGCCACTCCTCTGTCTTGGGCTTTGCCGTTTGACCTGCTTCTGTAGGTCGCTGTTGTGTACAGTTGGAAACAGACCCCTGCAGCGGAAGCTTGGGTGGTCGCCGACCTTCCCCGTGTGCGGCGTGAGAGCAAAAAGGAAGCTCCCCCGACATGGCGGTGGGAGAAGCTTCCTTGAAGAAGCGCTTGCACTAATGATTTGGTTCCTAGATGTTTGGGGAAACTTAACTCGAAGTTGGCCATGCATGAAAGTCTGAAACCATCTGCTCATGTTTCGGGGCATTAGTGTGCTTTTGGAAGTACCTGGCGAACAAAATGCAAAAAGTTCTCCTCTGCAGAAATACAAAGTATTGTCCCAGGCACTATGTTGATGTCGTTGTTGGTAACGACTTTTGTACGGCCGCCGACCACCCGGCAAAGTAGAACTGCATAGAGGCCTTCATGCTCTCCATCCTCGGACAAGACTGACCCAAATGACACATGAAATTCACAGTCTTCCAAAATCTGCATATGAGTAGTCATGAACATTCAATGAGTTCTGCTCCAAAACCGAGTCACTTCCAGAGGCCTCGCATACTCATCTGCCTATCGCACAAACAAACTGCCTCCTCAACATCCTAATGTAGACAGCATGTCATCTTGAAGGGTGAGTGGGCCGATCAGTCAAGCCCAGGCCGCAGAACCTACAGGATGTTGTGTATTTAAATGCAGAAATAGAACAATGTGCTTCTTTTTGTATATGCATTGTATACGTACGTGTACCAAATATGCAAGTACTCATGTCAAGTTCAGTCTCCATAAACCCAGTTTTTGGGCCTTGGTGATGCGCTCTGCGAAGTAAAAGCCAAAGCCATACAAGGGTGTGCCTTTCGAGGCGCCTGGATCCTTCCAGGTAGCACCTCGCATGCGCTTACGATTGCACTAGGAAATCCAGCAAGGCAAAATGCTCTTTTTTAGGAGGTGTTATATGCAATTACCTTTTTAAAGCCTGGGGGCAGTAGGCCGCTAGGAGATAGGTAGCTAGTAGCTATATAGGTAGCTAGTAGGAGCTAGGTTGCTACTAGTAAGGACGCAGGAGAGCTCGCGCTAATGATTTGGTTCCTAGATGTTTGGGGAAACTTAACTAATAGCAAAGCGTGTCGCAAAACGGATAACATTTCGTATCGATTCACCCAGCTTGGTCAGCATTGAACTGAAGCCTTTGCACGGAGGAGCACTACTGCAACGGCATGGGTTTCGACAGTCAGAACTGTAACTCTTTCTGGCTTGCCTGTGCCAGCCATGGCAGGCTTGAAGTTTGCTTCGCAAATGCCTCGGAGCTTTTCAGGCGCGCTGCCATGAAAGCACCGCCACTCATTGCAGTCCTCAGGGTTGCTTTTCGCCCTGCGTTGAAGGGAAAACTGCAACGATTCTCATTGTCTAGAGAAGGCTGCCCTCAAGCCGAAAAAGATATTGTCTTTGTGCCACTCCTTGCCAGACTCTGTACCTGAACACTCGTAAAGCCATACTATTGCGTAGCCAAGTATGACCCTTCAATCTCCTTGTCCAACTCAGAATCCAAGTCTGCTGCACCTTGACACTATCTTGCATGGCTGATGCAAGAGCATGATGAACCATGCAAAAGAAATGGAGGAAGCAGCAGCAAGTAGCCCAAGCAACACGAGTCAACACGAGTACTCATGAAACATGAGTCATCGAATAAATGAATGACTGTCATTCATTTCATTGACTTGCACTTAAGCGCTTCTGACTCAAAGTATATGAATTCCTGAGCCGTGGCACTCAACAAAGAAGGCTGCGGGAATTCTTCTCCTCGTGCACATTCTAAACGGATAGCCTGCTTCATCAGACAATACCTGCCAACACAAGGAGTAGAGTAGTTGCCAGAAAAAAACGACATGAATCAGAGCAATACAGGTTCCTGGCACAAAATCGAATGGAGAGCTCAGTGTGTTCAGTCCCTCTATGTATGTGTAGTAATCCTTTCTATTGAAAAGGAGACGAGCGCCCTGTCTGCGAGCCGCCTTCTCCACAACTCTGGGCTCTGGTTCCTGTAGTAGGAAAGCAGTGTCTGTGGTGAATGGCGGATTGACTAGACTGTAGGACACTACTAGGAGCAAAGGGCATCGCTACTAGGAACAAGGACGCTACTAGGGGCTCCTGGCCTTACTATTAGGAACAAGGACGCTACTAGGAGCTTTTTCATTGCAGGCCTGTAGGCTGCCTGCAACATGAAGCCGCTGGGCACCTTGGAATAGGGATGTTACGCATCATTGAAAATCCTCCCGTTGCTGTTGCCACTCATACTCATCATGGCATGGATCACCTCTGCATAAAGAGCCAACTCATGCAGCTCAGCGCAAAAAGCATAGCAACACTAAATTATCCAGCTCTCACAGGAAGTTGTGGACCTGCATGTTGAGATTTGGCATCCGCACGGGACAGCGGTTTTTCGCGGCACATGCCCAAGAGCAGCCATTCACACCATGCAGCCTGCGCCAGGAACTGCTTCAAATTAAATCTTTCCCCATCTGGACAGTCTGCACATTCATGTCAATGTGTTCTAGGATTGATGAGGTCTAAACCAAAGAGGGACAGGGGGAATGAAACGGAAGTGAGAAAGAAACTAGTTCTATCTCGCATTACCATGCCTCCAAATAGTGTTTTCTGTAAACTTGCTGGTGGAAGCTGGCTACAACAGCGGTTGAGGCCGAATCCTGCCTACAACCTCTGTCTCGGGTCCTCGGACGAGGGCAAATGGGTGAAACAAGAAGAATTCAGAACATGTTCATGCGAGCAGGAAATTGCTAGTTTGCTTCCAGTACTTCCTGTCAATTGCGCGGGACCCAAACCCATTCATTGACAACAGGGCAACGAAGTTTGCTCACATTGGTGTCTCAGGTTTCGGCCAGTTGTCGTGGGTCTTGTGGCTGTCGTTCAGCACTGCTTGAAGCTTTGAAAGCAAGTCCTGCTGAGAAGGGCCCAAACCCAGAAGCTGCTAGTACGTGTTTTACCCAAAAACTGGAAAGACAAGCCAAAAATGCCAAAGCTGGCCAGCTGTCAAATTGTTGGAGAACCTGCCCCTTCGACAAGGCTCACACGCACAAAAGAAAGTTATGCCAGCATAGTAGACCCCTAACAGTTGCGCGTATTGGCATCAACTCCTTGAATTCCAACCATAGTGGGTAGTGGTAATGCTTGTCATTATATATTCCGATAGCCTCCAGCTGTTTGGGAACAGGATGTAAACAAAAAATGATTGAAAACAATAGTTCCTGATTGCCAGGGTCACGTGTGCAAAAAGCAAGGGATGATAAAATCCAGGGATAATATCCAAATTTGAAACGCTGCATCACTGTTGAATCTATGTATGGCCAGACAAAAACGTACCCCCACAAGGCGGTGGAGAAAGGGAAAGCGGTGTGGCCAAGTAGGGACCAATCAATGCCCGGACAAAGCGGTAATGGCCAAGCCGGACACACAGACCCAGACAAGGCGGAGAAGACAGGGCCCACCGCGGCCGCACCTATTGTGGCCAGCTTTGTTTTCCTAAGAGAGAACCCCAACAGTAAACTGCTTGGGGAACAAGAGGGGGACACAGGGTTAGCAAGCGTGGCTGGAGGACAGCAGGAGGACACCACGAGGACAAGAGAAGGACACGGCGTTCGCCACCGTCGCACGAGGACAGCAGGAGGACACCAAGAGGACAAGAGGTTTGTTTTTGTTTGTTTCCTTCGCGGCATCAGGTCGACGCCTGCGGGGCTTCCTCGCTTCGGACGGCCTGTCGGCAGGGCCCGCTCCTTCAGTGGAGCCTTTCCAAAAGCTTGCTACTCCGGCCAACTTGCATCTAGTTGGGCCAGAAACTCCGCAAGGCCTAGACCCAGGTCGTCTGGCTCTTCAGCCGCCCGGACCCCTCAGGCGCTCTCACTCCGCGCTGCAGCAGCTCCTCGCCAAAAGCCGCAGCGCCGTCGCCAGCCGCAGCATACAGCACCGGGTCCTCGGCCTCCAGCAAAGCGCCCTCCATCGAGAGCCAGAACAAGATGTCTTGTTGGTGTGGCTATAGGTGAAGCCAATAGATACCTCACCTGTCCGCCGGCCTCGACTCCATCAGCACTTGCCCAGTTTGCGGGATCCCTCTCATGAACACCAACCTCTTTGAGGAGCATGCCAAAGCATACCGCTGGGACCTTTGGCAACTCGGCATGCAGCATATGCAGGAAACCTGGCCGCAATGGACCGACGAAGTCCTGCCATGTGTTTGGTGTAATGGTTCCCTCGTCCACACATGCTTGCAAGTCCAGTGTCTTTTGCTGCGGTGCGGCTGGCGTCAAAAGGATGGGACCAAGCTTTCCCCCTTGGTCATGGCATTTGAGCTGCGCAGCCTCATCAACTCTACGTTCCCAGGTGTTATCCACATAACGTGGTTGACACCATCCCAAAAAAAGTGGCTGGTGAAGGAGAGCAGCTCTTGTTGCCCCTCACAGTGCCAGCCTGTCAGCCATGCCTGAGTGGCGTTGTCTGGAGCAAGTCCAGTGTGTTGCTGGCTCGGCTGCACAGGGATTGAAACATTGCTGCGCCATTGCTGAGATCTTGCCAGAAAAGGCCTCGGCATTGGAGTTGAGCCCAAAAGAAGGCCACCACAGTGGCGTTGAGCCAGCAAGCATTGTCTTGGTTGACCAGCCTCCAGCCCATCACCATGGCCAAACCCCTGGTCTAGGAAGAGCGGCCCATGTCCTTTGAGAAGCTGTGTCACCAGCTGTGTCGGTCGAACCATGTGCTGACGAAGCCTGGCTTCCACCAGCATCCAATCAGAGTTGCGACTCAGCCACGATGATGTCTCGTACAGGCTGTTGTCCCGAAGGCTGACCTGGATCAGGAAGGGAATCACTGTCTTTTTGGATGACTGCGGTGGTTGTAAGCTCTTGAACCTGAGTACCTCATGAGTTCCAGGAGCTCCTCCAGGGCTTTCTGAATCCGTTCCCCCTTGATAGGGGTCTTGTTGGGCTACATCTGAAGCTTCTCCTGAGTCGGATCCCATTGCAGATATGGCCACAAGCCCTCCGGCGTGATGATGAGCTGCTGAATCGCCTTCTGCCAAATGGGGTCTTGGTTGTCCTTGGTTTGCAGCTTCGTGGGTCCAGGATCTCTTGGATCACCATTTGCCCCAAGACCACGTGTAGGGGTTGTGTGGAGGTTCTCTTGGTCTGCTGGTCTTTCCACTGCTGTGTCTGGTGTAGGATGTTGGGCATGAGGGACACTCACCTGCTGGCAAAAAGAGCAGAAATTGGTCTGCGCTGGCCAGCGCCTGCAATTGTGACTCGTGCCTCAGAGTCAACGAGATGAGCTGTCCCACGGTCTGCGGTCTGCTGAAGCGCTGCCAGTTGTTGTGTCTGGTTCTTGTTTTCGCCTTTTCCCTCGCCCTTGCCCTTTCCCTTCAGTCGCCCTTCTGATGGACCCTCGCCGTCCTCTTCCGGCTTGGCTCTCTTCAGTGGGGGGCGAGCCAGCAGGCCTCCCACTGCATCCTGGACCTGGTCCATCCAGTCGGTTTCCTCCATGTAGTCCATCTTGCTGGCAAATGCGGATGTAGTGGGCCAGATTGAGGGCCACCGGACACCACTCTGGGATGGCTTGAGCGACGCACCATCGGCAGCAGCCAAGATCAGGGCATTGCACTTGATCATACGTGGACTGAATGAGTACGTGTGTTGTCTCCAGGTGAGTGGGCAAGTCATCCACTGGCAAGTGCTGACAGGCAAGACATTGTGCTTCAAGGCTCGGACGAAGATGCGGTTGGCGCCAAATGGAGGCATAGTTGGCTGCTTCAACCAAGGCTTGCAAGTCAGCAGGTACCTGAGGCCGGAGCAGTGGTTGAAAAAATGTCCAAGGGCTCCTGCCTGCAGGACTACTGGACACTTGTGTCCAGATTTGGCAGAGCGAGGCACTGGGCAGTAGGAGTGAGGACCATCGGGGATGCCCGAGTGTAGGCCTGATGGATCCAGGCCTGGGCCGCTGTCATGGTCTCAGCGTGTTGATGGTACAGGTGCTTGGCAATCCCTGTTGTGTTCTGCCATACCGTCTCCCGCAGAGGCTACATTGTTGCTGAAGGGCCTCGCGTAGTCTGGCGTCGGTCAGCCAGTCTGTTGGAGTGCCACTAGCACATAGCTGTTGGACCCAAGGCCATTGTTGGGGGACATGTTCACCGGCGCCCCGATTGGCATCAAAGCGTTTGCAGGCCAAGGATTCGACGTGCATTCGTAGCCCGTAGAAATTGTTGAAGGTGGTCCCACAGTGGGCGCACTGTGTGGCGCCATTGGCTGAGTCGCGGGCTGGTTGGAAGGTGGCCTCAGGGGTCTCGGCGCCAGCCTGCGCTCGGAGCGTGGATGGTGCTAGCTTTCTCTGTGGAGGGCGTGGTAGTGCAACCAGTTCGTCAACCACGTCACTGCCCCTGAGTTGGTGGTGTTCGAGATACGCTACTATGGCCAATTGGCTGGCTGCTGGACAGGAGTGTAGCCGATTGGTGTTGTTGTGGTAACCGCCCGGGCTATTGGACTCGAAGGAAGGCCTGTGCGGCATATGCCAAACTTTGTGATGAAGGCGGCTCAAGTGTTCATGTATTGCTTTTCCACTTGGTTGCCATTGGGCACAAAGGATGCATCTCTGTCGAATCATGTCCAACACCCTGTCGTCCCCACAGCTCCAAGCCAGTCTTGCTGTCGGACCACCTGCCGTAGTTCAGGGTCATCAGCTGGACATGGTCTCTCCTGCGAGGCGGCGTCAAATTTCTGACATCGTCCTAGTGAGATGCGCTTGATGAGTCCTGACCACTTCTGGAACTGGCCGAGGCAGTGTTGGCATTGGGGCATGTCACCTGCTGCATCACGAAACACTCTGTACGGTTGTGGAGGTTGTTTCTGTGGAGAGTGATTACGAGTTATGTGCTGCATCAGAGACATGTGGGATGGCATCACTATCGAACAATGGGGACAGGACCAGGTTTGCTGGACTGCCTCCTTCATGATGGGCAGCTTGGGTGTCAAAGCCTCCAAAATTGTTTCGAAGTGACTAGCATACGGCAGTGTGTGCAAAAAATCTTCTCGTGGCAACACAAGGGTTAGGCCTGATCTGTCATCCCTGAATGGAGTCCAGGTCGCGCAGAGGTATTCACGAATGCTGGGTAGACCCAGGCGTGAGCGAAGAGCCTCAGTGGTTTCCCGTGCGATGTGAGAAGGAGAGCGAGCAATACGTCTGAGATTAATGGCGCGCGTTGCTTCAAGCACTTCCACTCCCTTGGGGGTCAATCCGCTGGCGGAAAGGCCAAACACATATGAGGCTCTGACACAGCTGGTCCACAGTCGGACTCGGCTCCAGAGGCTTAATGCGTGGCGGCGTTGGAAAAATGGTCAAAGACGGGTGTAAGTGAGGCGGCCTGCGTGTATTTGATGCTTCAAGGTCTGCAGTTCGAAAGGGCCATAGCTGATCTGCGTGCCAAGATATGTATGCTTGTTGACCCAGGGAATGAGACAGTCCCCTTGGTGGCGGGGCACGACTATGTATTTGACTCCTTTAATTACTCTGGTCCATCGTTTGAACAGGCCCGTCACCTTTGAACCAGACATTCGGAGCAGGATGGCTGTTTTACGCAGGTTCACAACCAGTTGGTTGGCCTCTAACAAGTTGACCTATTTCCCAGACTGCCTGTGGGAGATCAGTGAGTCGCGAAAATTCCCATTTCATCACTAGATCATCTGCGTACGAAATCAGGTGCTCACGCAGCCACTCCAGCGGACGGTCAATGCTGGCTAGAAATTGCATCAGAATATCAATCAAACAGACATTCCATTGGAGGGGCGAGGCTACGCAGCCTTGTCTGGTTCCACGTGTGGGGACCAATTGGCACGTCTGGCCCCTGTGGGCTATGTGATAAGCAGCACCGTTCAACCATGCAAGAAGCAAGATTTTCAGGTCGGTGGGACAGTGAACTTGGTCTAATCCTGGGCCTAGTCTTTCCCGTGGCATGCGGTCAAAGGCCTCTGAGAGATCCAAACTCAAACATAATCCACTGCCACAAGTTCTTTGTGGCCCTCTGACTCCTGGCGCGAACGGTGCGGCAGTGGGTAAAGACAGCTATGAGTGCATCAAAGGTGGATCTATTGGGTAGGTAGCCTAGCAAGGGAGCCTGACGTAAATCGGCAAAACATGCGGACGAACCTTCTGCATCAAGGTTTGCAGCACACATTTGCCCAGGATATCCGTCAGGGCAATTGGCCTGACGTCTTTAGGGGTGCGCACGGCACGTTTGGCAATCAAGGTAAGCCAGGCTGCCTGCCAATGTGGTGGTATAGTGACCCGGCGGTCACACCACATGTGGGTGAGGAGTGAGTGGCACACCTGCGCCAGTTCCCGCGCTAATAAGCATCTGACTGCTGCTGGTTGCAGCGAGCCTGGCGCCACAGCCTTGGTCAGATTGACTTTGGACAATTGGTATCGAAGGTCATCGACTGTGAAGGGCATTTGTGCCAGACGGACAGAAGGACTGGGCAGCTGAGGGGTTGACCCACAGTAGACATTCTCGAAGCGCTGACGAAGGAGGTCCAGTTCGACCTCAGGGCTTTGGGCCAGCCCGTTTGCAGATCGAAAACGAATGGGTCTATTGGCTGCTTAGGACTAAGAGTGCGGACAATCATGTGGAGCTGAGGTTGGTCATGAGCCAAGTCTGCCTGAGCCGCACGTTGCATTTGCTCTTGAAATCGGTCTTTCTTCTGTCGTCGTGTGTGGTACAGCATGTCCTTATGCAGTCGACTGTGCTTGGTGGCATGAACCCAGGCTTGGAAGCTTGTACGAAGGTCGGTAATCACCATGCGCCAGAGCTGATGGTAGTGGAACCACATGGTGGCAGCGTACCTGTGGCTTTCGGGATGCTGCCAGTCCGGGACAGTCGAATTGGATTGTGGAGCTTGCTGCCAGTATTCTAAAGTCCATTGACTGAGTTTAGCTAGGTGAGACCAGCTAGGGGATTCCGCTCCCAGTCGGGCACTGGCCTGTGGGATGAAGGCTTGCCAGGCTTCATCTTGGGCCCGACGGTGCATTTGCAGATCCTGGCGTTGGGACCAAGTCCATCGGTGAGTCTGTGGTGGTTTGTGCATTTTCTGCCAGACCTTCCAGGAGACCGGTAGACTGCAGAGGATGGGCATATGGTCACGAAGAGCTCTCCAACCTGCAACCGGAAAGGACTTGAAGACCCTGCTGTGTCTGACTTGTTCATCTTGTTGACAGCGTCTCATTAGAACATGATCTATGGTGGAGGCGCCGCCTGGACCCTGGAAGGTATGAGCACTATCGTGAGGTCGGACCGTGGCCAGCGTACGCCTGCAGCACAGTTCACGAAGTTCCCATGCATCCTGCGGTTCAGGTGTCTGACGTTGTAGCTCAGTATTAAAGTCACCTGCTAACACAAGCACATTCCTGATAGGAAGGTGAGTGAGGATGGTGTCCAGGGAGGACCAGACCTCAGCTCTATTATCATATGGACGGGCTCTAGTGGAGGTGACCTCGGTCGTGTATTGGTATACTTGTACTGGTTCAAGAGTGGTCTGAGCTAGGCGGCATTCGACGTGCTGGACGCGGCCGGGAAGTGGTGTGGAACTTGACAAGTCCTGACTTCGGCACAAGCGGTAGCTGACTAGGGTCAAGAGTCCCATGATCTCTACGGTCCTCGGTTCCGGCAGAGAGGACCCAGTACCCATGCGTGCTCCAGTCTTTGGTCGTGGACCAGCGTGTGCCCTGAACGCAAACGATGTCAATGGCATGGTGAGTAATGTACTGCATGAGTTCTTGCCAAGTAGCACTGGTCAGTCCTCCAGCATTCCAGGACAAGAATGCGCAGCGCTGACCACCACGTTGCATGTGCTTGCCCTGATCCCGGTGCAGGAAGGGAAAGGTGGTCCAAGTCGATTGCAGCTTGGAGCAACAGGTCGGATCTGAAGTCAGGGGCAGTGCATTGGGCAGAGTCTGGCTGAGCTCCGACTTGGTGGTCATCAGTAGGCGGCCCTTGTACGTAGTGCACCCATCTCTCGACAAGCGGTGCAATGCTCTCCTATAGCTCTGACTCTTCTTGGTGCTCCAGTCTGAGCTGAGCCCTTTTGCCCCGATGGAGCCTTCATAGTGCTCTATCCCACGATTCTTTTGGGGGAAACTAGTGGGTGCATGAGCAAACTGGTCTCCTCTCCCCCCTGTCGTGGACCAGGAGGAACCCTCACCTCCCATGAACCAAAAACTCTGCGATTTCTTTCCAAGGCTCGGTGGTTCACACCCGGACTTGGGACCGGGATGCTCGAGCCGCAGCCAGCCGGCCGTCAGCAGCAGCAGAAGGAACTTGCCAGCTGCCACCATAGAACGGCTCCAGTCGTCACGGAAGTGGGATGCGTCTCCCCGCTAGTGGGGGGCTGGCTTACTGGCCATCTCGAGCATAGAGGCTTGGAGGACAAGAGGAGGACACAGGGTTCGCCAGCACAAAAACAGGAGAAGGACAACAGCAGGACAACTGGAGGACAACAACACCCAGACAAATCTTAAGTTCCCTACAAAACAACGGATCAAATCAATCATGCGAAGAGCTCCTCTGCCGAGTCCCAGCTTCTTGTTTGCTACTGCTACAGCTTCTACCTTCTTACTCTCCTCTTCCCCCGTACCTCGTTTTCACAACCTAAACCATCAAACTGGGCCTTCTTGTCGGCCTTCCCCTGTCCTTGTTGGTCACAGCCACTAGACCTTCCTGGTCCGGGATCCAACCATCTCGCAGGTGCGAATCGATGTTGGCATAGGTGTCCTCTCTGGAAAGTGCCATGAACTTGAACAACAGTCTTTGAAAGCCCTTGGAAGTACAAAGAATGTCAGCTGCTAGACAAAGGAAATCAGTGTGCTGTTCTCAGACTGAGGTTGACTGTAGTGCTCGCATCAGTATTAGTATGTTCAAGAACTACAGGCGACAGATATTGAAGCAACCCTTCCACAGTTACACTTAATGCTTCAGTATGAGTGGAAAATTCCAGCCATGAATGAGTGAGTTTCAACCAACGACCTGATGCATAGCCTCTCCTCAGCATAGTTGGAGCGATGCATGCTAAGCTTGTGCCCGCCTCAGCTAACTGGCACCTGTTTGGATCAATCGACTTGGATGTTGCTCTGTTGCACCTTGACGCGTTGACCTGGGCAAAATATCTAGAAGTGGCATCTGCATGCCATTCTACCTGGAGAATTATATAGGTCAAATCACGGAGTGCGTTGACGCAACGGAATAGAGACACAGAAAGAAGCTCAAACAAAGCCTCTAGCCCTACCCTGCTTACGAGGTCCTTTAAGCGAGATGGAACTCCGCGGGGCAGCCTAACTCACCCAGCTCTTGCTCACGAAGAGATCTGTGAGAGAAGGAGAGAAAGAAGCGAGATTCGCTGAGGCCTCAACATTTGCACAACACACCTAGCATCTTGCGCTGGTCAGACCACTTGGTCTTGGTGCTTACGGAGAAAATGTGGATACCCCTTGCTAATGGCATGGTGGCGAGAAAGGGTCTGTGTAACAGTCCTGTGCAAGAGGCTATGTACAAAAGAGACCTGTGCAATCTGCCAAGCTTGACGTGTGTCCTGCATCTCCTGTTCCCATCCTTCACCGTTCACCCTCTGTTTCCGGCTGTTACATGAGCATGACGTCACCTCCTCCTCGCTTGTCCGGGTCAAAGCAAGTGCAGCTGCAGGTAAACTCCTGGAAACTCTCAAGGTCACTACAATCGAAGACAAGCAAAGTAAGTGACAAACCAGAAATAGGAATGCTAGAATTATGCACAACATTCGGGCAAAATGAAGCTGGTGAGGTGATCAACTTCGAGTTAGCAAACCCCTAGCGATTGAACTTTTTGCTGACAGGTCCAACTAACTGCTCCTCCTCACCATCCTCCCCGTTGTTTTTTAAACGGATGCGGAACCTGCAGCTGTTCGCATCATCTTGTCAAAAAAGACGACCGGGTCTCCAATGTCAATGCATCAAACGGTTGAATTTCACTTTTATTATTGTTGCATATCATGTTGACTTGCTGCGATGGACGTTTGCTTGCAAAAAAACTTCTCACATCATCTAGATTGAAAATATACTGGTAAGAACCACGAGATGTTTGTTCTACTGTATACGCTGCAGACCCGACAAAAAGTGGAAACCAAACAAATTCAAACTATATCAAATCACCAGACAGTTCTTGTGTTCAATCCCTGCTAATGCAAAAGATAGAAATGCCTGCAGTGCCGTTGTGCTCCCGATAATTCCAAACCCACAGGCAATGCTAGCCCCATGGCCTCCAAGTGAGTTCAAACAATGAATTCTCACAGCTGCAGTAAGGAACAAATGCCAGGGGAACAACTGGCAACACCAAATGAGGAAACTGCAACAGTTGACATCATAGAAACCAACAAGGTCACCGTGGAAGCAGGTGTGCTCAATGCGAGGAGAGAAACCTGTCAGAATTCAAGAGCGAAGCACTTGGGAGCTCAGAATGAATTCTCAACACTACATTTACATGGCATTACAACATGAATTTTCCACACTCCAATTTGGACAAATTATATGTGCCACTTGCCAACAGGACAATGTTGCCAGGTTGCCACGCCTCTGCGAAGTGGGCGAACTGGCTAAAATTTAGGAATCCTGTGCAAGGACCACCGGCCTCTGTCCAGGCGTCCTGGCCACATCAAAAAGTCTTCGGTGGTGCCGACACAGGAAACTACAGTAGCGGACCTCCCATTCCTCCAAGAGTCACTGCGATTGCTCCCGGTTCCCTTGTCCTTTATAAACAAATCCATGCTGAGAAGTAGTTGCTGGTCATTGGCTTGGCCTACTCTTCGGCCTCTTTTGATGACTAGCTCTGTCATGTGTTCCGCGCGGCTTCTTTGAACTCAAATCATGCCCTAAATTCGTTGGCATTTCACCATTTTGCGCTTGTCCTCCACAATCCTTTCGTCTATATAAATAAATGGTTTCATGTCCTGTGCTTCACTTGTCCTTGTGTTCTGTCAAGTTTGGATGATAACAAAACTACCACAATACAAGCTGTTCAATACTTGGGTGCCTGGCAATCGTCGGAATGCAGCACTTGGAAAGTTATATATATATATAATCATATATAATTATCACACTTCCCTTTTCCGCTGTTTGCAAAGTTGCTCTACTCTGCATTGCAGAGGTCTATAGCTGCAGCTACCGTAGACAACGAAGCCGAAGTGCCACCAAAACACTGCACTGACAACAAGCAAGTCGAGTACACAGCCAGGTAGCACTGAGCGCTTTCCACTCCTATCTTCCTGCCTTGCACAACACAGCATAAGGGCCCGGAAACAAATGCTGTAAAATCAGGGGCAACCCTGAACTCAAGGATGTGATCCTTTGTCTCGTTTCTGCTGAAAGGTTAAAAAGGAACAATTGGGCTGCAACTTCTTGTATGTAGTATTCTAAAGTTCTAAGCCGGCTCCAACGTCCCTTCCATTGTATCTGTGCAATATTAGAAGTTTCCAAATACTCATGGGTTGCTCCACTCCCTCTCAAAACTCCAGGCGTAGCGCCTTGTTGCGCCTGTCGACGCGGAATGCCCAAATGGTCACACAGAGCATTCCACTGTCTGCGAAACACGGCCGTGGAGGCCGGGAAGAGCTTTTCTTCAAGTGGAAGGTGAGCAAAAAACACACCTGATCAGGAAAATCAGACTGATATCTTCTATTTTTGCATGTTGCCTTCGAGCGAATCGAGCTGTCTTGGGGTTCTTTATGAAAACGTACAAACAAGGCTGTTGTAGCAATGCATCTTCGGGGAATACAAGATCACGACGCGTGAGGGCTAAAATCTCACTGGGGTGCAACATGCCCCCAAATCCCAAAACAACGGAACCAGCAAAGGAGAACCATCCCCACAACAATGCTACCGCAATCAATGCTTTGAACACGGGAGCTGACAATACAGCTCTGCATTGTCCAGGTTCTTCGAACTGCCAGCGTAAATCAACTTGCCACGCTCCGGCTAAGTGCCTTTTGACATCTGGGAAAAACTGTTGCACCGCTGTGATAGCATAGACCAAAAGGTATCTAGGTTTTCCCTCACGAAACAGGGCCAGACCATATGCGCGAAGCGCTAGGTTCATGTTTTCTGCATTAGCGCAGATTGTGTCAAAATCAAGCTTCTGCTGAAAACACCACTGCTGAAAATCATGAAAGCATCGTTTCATACGAGTTGAAGTAGCAGACGCAAACCCGCCAAACAAATCAAGCTCGCCTCGGGGCGTATACTTTCGATCAGCAGTAGCTTCGCCACATGGTCCAGGGTTCTGTCCACATCTCCGGCCATGAGCAGAAGAAGTCGAATCCACCGGCCTACGGGTCGTGACCACTTGGCCAGAGCTACCATCTCGTCAAAAGGGGCAGCGTCGCCCGCTTGCAACGACACCAGCCAGGGAGCCAAAGGTCGAGAGGGGCCCCGAACCTCGCGGTCACGAGATGGCCCATCCGCTCTGTTCCAAGCTGAGCGACAATGCAGTGTGCCAGGATACAAACCCCCTCCAATGATGTAACCCAAAGAACTGCGTAGAATGCGACTTAAAGCTTGTGAAGAACTCCGACCTTTTGCAGCCGCCCCCATAGTGACCCTGCTATCTAGCAACCCTAAAATTCGACTGTTGGGATGTTTCTTGCTGCAATGCTTCAACCAACTCTTGTACGTACGGCATTCGAGACAATTGATGTGTCCTCCCTTTTTGAAGCGAAAACGAAAAAGCTCTTGAAACGGCATGCTCTCGCATATGTCCTCGACCCACTGAGGGTCATCGTACCACATCCGTGCCAAAGAACGATCAGCCTCGGTGTCATGATCTCCTTGAAGAGAACAGCTGGTCGCTCGAACATCAGGCACGGCCCCACACGTCAAAGCCGCACGGCTTCCAGTGGCCATGACCTGGCAGAGCGGTATAGGGTACGAAGCCGAAAAACTGCTCACTGCTTCTCCAGGTTGTGGCACTCTTCCATAAACAGAAAAAGCGTCTGGAGTGCACCGATCGTTGAACAGTTTGATGGATGAGGAAGTAAAAGAACCTTGAACAGTAAAGCGCCGGTTCTTAAAATTGCAAGTGCATTTGCCAGCCAGGATCCGATACCGCGGTTTGTTGTGTAGCCACTTACTCGGTTTGTTGAACCCGGAGCCAAAGGAACAAAAACAGAATTTCGTAACCTGGCACCCCAACTCTAAAAGCCGCAAGAATGCTGCTAGCCGAAACATCACCGACCCACCAGGTTGTTCAACTGAAATGAAGCTACCGCTGAGTACGGCCAATGTCAGCAGGAAGGCGGTGCGTACCGCCAGCATGGTTTGCTCCAAAGTTTTGGGGTCGTTCGGACGAAATCCTGCAGGTAGTTCCTTAGACCTTAGCCTGGGTCTTCTTAGAGTTCCAAAGGACCAACATGGCGGCCCTGCATGCCACTCACGAATAGCTCCCTGATGAGCCAACAAAGCAAGTTTCCGAAACGTTTCATCGTCAGCTAAATCCCCAAAAGCGTTCCCAGTGGCTGCTCTCTCAATACCCGGGTGAACCTTGAGGCCCGCTGCTGCATGAGACTTGCTCCAATTGCCCTGTCCGGAAAACAATTCAATGCAATCGAACACAATTGTCCTGTCAACAAGCAGCTGTTTTGCCAATGTTGCATTGCGAGGCAACTTGCGGTCAAAGATAGGGAATTCAAGACTCTGGGCTTCTTCACCAAAAAACTCCTCATGCTCAATCCCTAGCTCACGCAAAGTTGCTCCCGCAGTGGATTGAAGACACGTGTAGTATCCCCGTTGCTCTGTGTGCCTCCACAGCTCTTCGACTCCAGCAGCGGTGAATGAAGCATGGCAAATACCCCCCCCCGAAAGGAGAGGCATCCAACATGTACAGCTCAGAAGCAACCTCTGCCCTCAAGTCTGTCTGCATTGTGGGGGCTAGTAAGCAAAGCATAAGAAGTTCGTTGCAACATTTATTGGACAAATGAAAAACCACGTCACTCTGCAAGTTTTCACCCTCGTGGTAGACACTCTCAAGCACTGCGAAAAGCGGTCTTCTGAAAAGTAATGCATGCGTCCAGCATCCTATCAACCCTTGAAGCAACTTTCGAGTGGCAAGTCTTTTGTGAACAACGATGGAGGTGATGAAACTGAGCAGAGCAACACGCTCTGGGAGCCGAGCAGCGGCCGATGGTTCCGTGCACTTCAGCACCCAACACAACTGCCTGTTCCGCCCTCCTTCTCATCTTGCCCGGGTGAGCCGTCAACTTTACACGTTTGTAAGCCTCGTTTGCTGCTTCAAATACCTGTGTGTCACGACTGTGTAACTCTGCTTGTGAACCATCCCGTTTAACTTTTTCCAATCCAATGTGGTCATCGATTGTGAGAAGTTCGAAGAAGGGTCCACGTGGCACAGGCTGTCTATACAACAAACACTCATGCGGTTGCATACAGTGAGCAAGCTCCCTTAACACGTTAACATGGCTTTGTTGAGCTATTTCCACAGCCAACGCATCTCCCATAGCCAAGGTCCCCAAACAGACAAAAACATCTTTGTGGTGAAGTTCAGGATTGTAACATTGCATGCCCTGAAAGCCTGACCCTTTGAAGCTCATCCCAATGGCGTTTCGTCGAGCTCAGTTAGCGGACACCTTAAAAGTGTAGTAAAACTCACACAGATCGTCCGACGACACCAAAAGGTTCTCATCGTGAGCAATGCGAATCAGACTCATCAAGTAACCTGGAGCGATGGAGCGTAAGGGTAGCAACGACTGTTGATGACTGTGGGATTCAAAATCAGACGATCAAATTCCGAGTCCTGTGGCACTGCAAATATACCAACCGCCTCAACAGGCTTGATCTCCGAACACGCAGCTAACTGGCACGCCCCTAAGGCATCCCACTTTTGAGCAAGTCTGTACACCTGTTGTCGATCTGCATGGACTTTGGCTTTCGGCAGGCGAGGCCACTCTGACTGTGGACGTCGGAGTACGTTCGGATCTCTGAACGCTTGCTTGACCACTGGGTCTGACAGATAGGGTGAAGGGTCGAATGTGGGAGCCAACTTCCATTTGATCCTATCTGCAACAACTGGCCTGGCACTGCAAGCATTGCTCGAGATCCGCGTTTCTGGCAACACCATTGTAGCCGACTCTGCCCGTGTCATTTCAGGCTGGGGCTCATACTCTGCATGCTTGTTGCTCGGGAGTACGAATCAAACGACGATTGAATGCTATCTAAAAAACTGCTCAAATCCTCAACCGAAAAAGACGTTGAGGGATCATGCATCTTGAAAACTAATTTCCCCAAACTTGTCAGTTTCTCCCCAGCCCGGCCTAAACTATCTAAAGGATCAGCCGGAGCATCCAAAAAGTAGCTCACCAGATCTTCCAGCCGTTCCACCATCAGGAGCTGTTGTGCGCTCATGGGATAGCCCGCTCTGGCATAGATAGGTGGAGTCTCAGAATGGCCTAGACTCAACCAGTTTAAGGCCAGCACCAACTGCTGAACACAAAGGGCCCGAGTCTCCAGCAATCGATGGCGTTTCCGACGCGTAGGTGACAAGGATGAGGAGCCTGTCCATCGCCGCCAACGAGGTGGGGGACAAGGCCATAGATCGGTCCGTTTGACCACCGGACCGTCTTGAGCTGCGCGGAACTCCTTCAAACTCTTGGAGGCAAATCGTTGGAAAGCCCCCGGGAGTGAAGCTACTTGCAAAACTGCGCACACAAGTTCAGTGCACTGAGTTGATGGGGGCAGGATGTCCTCTGAGGGTTGGACATTGATCAGGCCTCGTGTTGAGTGGTGACCTGCATCCCTGCCCGCTTCTCGATCGCTTTTGGCCACTTGCGGTGCATCTTCATCACCCGCTACATCCAAGGCTTCTGCAGTGTCAGGCTCCACCCCCCGACCGCGATTGATGGTAGGGATACACTCCCTCCGTCCAGACAAAGAAGAGGGCAGCAAAGGGGTTGAGCCAGACTGCAAAGAGCCTGTGGCCGTCTTTCGCTTCAGCCTTCGTTGCCTCCACCGGAGGCTTCTTCCTTCTGCTTCTGTTTCTTCTTCTTCCACGGCTGCTTCTTTGGACCAGGTGCGTCCTCCGTCTCCTCCTTCTTGTGGTTGACATTGGAGAATGAGTTGGCACTCTTGATCCTCCCTTCCAGGTAGTCCAAGTCCTTCATGTAGGACACATTTGCCGCGATCCATGAAGGTGCGGCAAGACGAGTGAAGGGGCTCATCGAAGCTTTGTTTCTGTTTCTTTGTGTGATGGAATACTGTGGCTCCGGCAGAGACGTCAGGAGCCATGCCAGGGTCGTCCGTCCAAAGTCCGTGGCTGCTTGGTCGATGAACAACATCCCACGGGCTGCATGACCCATGAGATCGGGGTTGTTGGTGCGGAATCCTTGCTCCCAAGCCGCTGCGAACATGTAGCCCATCTGTGTGAGCAGACGGTGATCTCCCAGAGGTACCCTCTTTTCGAGGTACTCCCGCATGAGCCCAGAACCTATCTGGTGAGGATCCAGACCAAGCTCCGCTGCAGCGTTGGCCTGCACGACCGCCCCGACTTTTGAAACATCTGCAGCAAGCTTCACATAAGCATCTCGGGCTAGGCAGCCCTTGATGCCTGACCCGCCCCCACTTGTCTCTGAACTGCCCAATGCGGCGTGCAACGGATCTGCCCTCTTCTCGTGCTGCTTTGCAAGTAGCTGCATCTGCTGCATTTGGAGAAGGAGCATCTTCTGCAGGGGATCGGTCACTGCTGCTTCTAGTTCTTTCAACCCCTCTTCCATCTCGGGCTGCTCCTTCCTGCTGAAGGGTCTCCAGAAACTGGGACGGTCTGTTCTCTCGCAAGCCCCGCTCGTGAGCGCCCAGCCTGGGCGGAGCAGCACCGGCCAGTTGCCTCAGAGTAGCCACCGTCTGGGAATGCTGGTCGGGAGTCCCCGCCTGATTGAACAGAATGCCCCGAGGAGGAGTTCGAAGAGCTGTGGATGATATTGCACCCATCCTTGACTGCCCACCGGGTTGACTTGCCAGCAGAGCCTCGAGCTCGCGGACTCGCTGTTGGAGATCGTTGACCTCGTGCTGCTCGGCTAACAGGGGTTCTGGGGCAGAGTCGCCCCCTCCATCTGCAGTCACATAGTCTCCTGCTGTGTCTTCGTCCATGGTCTCGTGAATCCACTGATCGGCCATAGCTTCTAAACTTTGTCGGTTGGGCCGAGCAGCCTGGTCTTCGAAGGTGAAGCGGAAGACCTCCCCCATAGCTTGAGACCTCAATGGACTGGCTCTTGAGAAGAGTTGCACCAACGGCCACACTAGATCTGCCAGCAGAATGGGGCCTTCTCCCAACGCTCGCCCTCTGGGCGTCTCCAACAGAACTGAGGTGGGATAGAGCGCCGCTGCATTTTCGCCAGCCTCCTCCGTTTCTGGCTCTCGCAAGTAGGTGCCAATCTCCTCTAGCTCTGGCAAGGCGACCATGAAACCGCCTGAACGAAGCCGTAGCAGGATTGCAGTGGAGCGAACAGCCGTTCCATCTTCGCGGGCTGGAAGGTTGAGAAACAGTGCAGGAAGTGGCCCAGTTGGGCCGCAGGCCCCAAGCGGGGCCTGCATGCCATCTTCTGTCATCCGAGGCGCTGCACAGGAGCGGGCCATGGCTGACCAGCTCCAATACACTACGCCTCCGCCTCACTCCTCGAAGGAAATCCGTGGCACACCACCTCTGGATGAAAGCGCTGATCGCGCCCTCTCACCTCAGCCAGGTAAGTGGCGTAGTGATCAGTCCACCCCGGAGCGCGATTGGAATGCCCTCGGGTGATATACACACGATTGTCCAGCAGAATGTCAGGTCCGGCTGGATGAGATGCAGGGCGATGCTCCAAGCGAGCCCTGTCCAACAAGTCTGCCCTCAAAGCACGCCCAAGCCGAGCCAATGGCGTCCACCCACCAGCTGAAGCTCGAAGGCGCCCCAACAAAGAATGAACCGGAGCCAATGGAATCCTCTCAAAATGCAGCGGCTCCTTGGCAGCAAGCAAAGCGGATTCCCACTCCCAGGTCCAAGGTACAGCGTCGGAGATGAAGGGATCGGTCCAATCAATCTGCTCTTCTACAGCGCCGGGCTCAGGCGCAGGGGTACCCCCGGAGGGGCGAGCAAGGGATACTAGGCTGAAAGAAGCTTCGCTTGAAGCAGGCTCACCCCCTGCTGCTGCACTGCTATGATCAGCTCTGTCTGGGTCTCGAGTGATCTGTATGGACAACCCTCCCAACCTCACAGTGAGAGAGTCGATGTCAGTGGGCTGACTCATGCACTGCCTCGGTATTCACCTAACCTCTTCCGCAGAGTGTGAGCAGGAGGAGTGGAGGTAGCTACCGGAGTAGATAGTGCCAGAAAACTCAAAATCAATTGCTGGTCCAACCTCCTCAAAGTAGAAGAAATGGCCAGCAGAGTAGTGAGAGCGCCACAGCAACACCCAAAAAGGCAGGCTAGCAGGATGAGCAAAATCACGAAGGACAGCGAAAGTCCAGTGCAATGAGTGACCGAGCCAGGCCACACCCACCTAACCTCACGGACCAGGTCGATTAGGCGAGGCCAGAACGACATGCACAGGCCGCTTGATCCGAGAAGCTTGAAGCAAACAAGCTGACCTCATGTGATACTGACATATATATATATATATTAATATTGTATGTCCAAACGAGAAGGCGAATCCATTTCCTACCACTACTGGTGCTTGGAGCAACTTTTTCGGCTGTTTGCTAGCTTGGAGCAGAGAGAAAATTCACTCCAACCCAGCCGTCCTCTGCACTGGGCAGTTCTGCGCAGCCAAGGCGCTGGCAACTCTGAAGCGATTGGATAAACTCCTGAAGTGCGACGAAGTGATGACAATGGGCACTGGCAACCCTTGTTGGTGACTATTCCGCTTCTTGCCAAAGAATGATGAGTGCAAGTGCAGTCTATAGTCTAAATCATTTACTGTATAATATACACAAAGGAAATTACAGAAACAACTGATTGCCTGGACTGCTGTCAAACCAGGATCTGTGCTGTTGGGCAGATGCACATCTGACCTTTCCTCCTTGTCTAAGTGCCCAGATTCAGCTCTGTCATAGAACTGAAAGAGCCTTGCATGGAACTCTCAAGATTTGTCCAAGACCTATTGCTGCCTCCAAGCGAGAAAGACAAGCTCAATGTTGATTGAAATTGCTGTCATACCATTTGCAAACAATACCATCCATCCAAGGAACTCCCACAGGTTCTGAAATTCTGGGAACTGCCCACTACCTGATTCCATTCCAAATCGGAACAGCAGCGGGTGGAGGTGAGGAAGGAGGCATCTTGCAAGCCACAGACCACTGATACAGTGAAGTGGTGACAGTGAACTAGAAAGTACTGTACCAATGTGGCTCAACGCAATTGCAATGCGTCGGTGCTCTCTTAGTATACACCCTTGACTTCAAACATATTGTCTAGCACTTTGCAGGCCAAACACTCTTTGCAAAGGGGAAAACCACTCATCATAGACACACTAGACATATAGTACGTACGATGTACGGACTGAATGCCACAAGCCCTGAAGAAAGGTTGGTAAAAAGGTAAGCCCAAGGGTCCAACCACCTCCAAGTGCAGGAAGTTTACATTCAGAAGTTTCAACATATCAAAAATCTCAAAGTTCCGCTAGACTCCATGGGGTGCAAAGGTCCAAATGTCAAGAACGATGCGTGACTGCCGACGCCTGACTACCCAATGCACAACTGCCAAACTCACAAACATTGCAAAGGCTGGTCAAGCGACAGGGATTGAGAGATAGTACCAAGTTGTAAGTCATCATTGCAGGTACGTGATCCCAGCATCCCAGGGTCATATCAACCATGTAATGCAGCCCTCTTCGTTGGACAACCCGTTGCATCCAGGGTTGCGACTGCTATAACTGCTAAAAATCAAAAAATATGATTCCAAAGGTCACACACAGACACTGTACCGTGCAGGCTTATCAAAAGGACGTCAAGACCACGTCAAATTTATCAACGACCTGCCAAAATGATGTTCACAAGTTGCTTAGATGTTTGAACTTTGCTGTGGCCCTTTCAGTCGGCCTACTGAACAGATTGACAAGAATCGTTCCGGCGCTCTCTCGCTCTTTCTCTCTCCCTCTCTCAATCACTCACTTGCTCGCCCACCCACCCACCCACGCAAGCACGCACTCACGCGTTCACTCACGTTTTGTTTCTTTCTTTCTATCTGTCTGTCTGTCTGTCTGTTTTTTTAATTGTTTCTTTATTTTTTTTGTTTCTCTCTCTCTCTCTCTCTCTCGCTCTTCCTCTGTTCCTCTCTTCCCTCTTTCTCTCCTCCACTACAAACCACACACATCCAAGCACACGTGTCTGCGAAGGTTGTTTACCAAACATGCGGCCCGTGCGACCAGTCTCCCTTCCGAACTGCCTGTGTCAACGCCGGTCCCGTTCATGCCAAGAAGCTGAAACACACGAGGCCATGCCGGTAATTATGGTCCTAAGGATTTCTGGGCAGCACAGGGCTGTGACACAAAGCTAACCCAAAAACGACAATGTCAGCAAAATTAGAACTTTTACAGTAACCGCTACCCCGGCAATCCACATCAGCATGATACTTCCGCCATCATTGGAATGCGTTCTTCAAAACTATTTTTTTCGTCTCAATGGGAGACACCTGAAAGGCCTTGCTTACTGCCAAATCTTTCTTTATTGTAACATTGTCGCAGCAGAAAATATTTAAGTTGGATGTTGACATTGACCAAAAACATTTTTCCCCACATGCATCTGGCCAAAAATATATATATATATACATATAGATGTAACAATATTGAAACAAGTCTCGCCCGGGTGCGCAAATTGCTGAAGATGCCAGGAACTCTTCTGATAGCAGCCTGCGCCATATTTGCCTCAGCTCAGGATCTTGAACTTCACTTCAAAAGGTGTCCTACTTTGACCGTATGCAGCAAGCGCACAGCAGGAAACGTTTCGGGAGGACAATTGGAACGTAGGTATGTTATGTTATGTTCTGTCATGTCATATCATATCATATCATGTCATGTCATGTTATGTTCTGTCTGTCTGTATGTATGTATGTACGTCATAGCACCCCCTGGAAGAGCATCTATGTTTCAATCTCTCCGCACTTTTGCTCGGGCGAGGATTGAAAAAATAATGTCCCCTGCAATAATGTCTGCGCTTTTCGTTTTTGATTTTGGGGGGAGTCAGCTGCAAGGATATCGGAGTTGAGCCGCACGATCGCACTGCCTAACTTTCGGCCAGAGCTATGGCCTCAGGCGAGCGCATGGAGACAAACTAAACTAGCGGCCCAATCCGGATATTATAAATATATATATATGTCACTGCACTCACGTGAGGATCTTTTCCGAGGTTGCGCAAGTGAACCTGTCGGGCACGTGAGACACCCTGCCAGCTGCTT